GTCTTTCGGACCGAACCTCAATAAAAACTCGGCTTCTGGAGCCGATCGGACCGAACCAGACTTTTAACAGCCCTACATAAAAGTCATTTTTGTTATCTTTATGTTGCAATTACGTACATGTATTTATTAAATAAAGCAAGCCGCAAAAATTCCTCCAAACGAACAAGCCGAAATTACTATTTCACTCAATAATGGATATACTACAAGAGAGATAGCTAGAACGCGAAATATCAGTTTCTCGTATATATGTTGTGTCTCAGATTACAACTTGCCTCAGATCACAATTCACGTGCTCATTTTCAGCCAACGTTAACTCATCTCCCAGCATTAGCGATACAACAGAAGTTGATGAACTAATTTGATGCGGTAGAAAATTTAATTTATTAAATTAAATGAAATTAAATCTAAATAGTAGCTTACGATTTGATTCTGTGATTTGTATCGTAAAACAAATCACTTAAATATTTCCGTAATTGTGAAGTATTATTAAACATCGAAATTATCCATTACGAATACGAACATTACGAATAATATGATCTCGTCTGTTTCATACTCGAATAGTGTTCTTAATATTTCCTATAAAAAAAATCCAAGTTTCAAGAGAAGCAAATTAAACCATGAAATATCATCCCCGTTATAAAAACACCTGTATAAACAAATTCAACGTCGTTTATATCGTCTATACGAAATTTTCAAGCGACTTGTTTATATCTCCAGACCGAAGCAAACCAAATTCAACCGGAAGACGGAACACAAGACAATTGAAGAAAAACGCAAGGGATAAAAAAATCGACGACTGATCATTGAAGATTTCAAGTACAGTTAGGACCTATGGCTATATTAAGCGAATCTACTTGGATTCCATTAATTTATCATAATAGAAGGACCCCAAGATTCCGCCAAAGAATAAAGCAACACCGTACCAAATGATACCGAAAGGAATTGAACCTTTCCACCGAAGTGACTGCATAAGAAAAACCACGAGGCATTCGATGAGAAACCACTGATACCGGTTTATTTATTCTAATTACCATTTAACCCAGACTTTAAACCGCCCAATGAAACGCTTGGTCAAAAACGAATCATTGAGGACAGATCATTTACACTCGGATCTGCCCCACGAGCGGCCACAACATTCTCATATAGTCCACAAGTGGCGGGGACTATCCCGTTTAAATTCAATAATCACGAATTAGAGCTACAGATTATGTACGACCTCCAAAACGATCATAAAGAATCTGACCAAATAAACGGACAAAGCAACAACCATCGCCCAATGAAACGCTTGGTCAAAACGAATTATTGAGGACAGATCATTTACACTCGGATCTGCCCCACGAGCGGCCACAACATTCTCATATAGTCCACAAGTGACGAGGACTCTTCCGTTTAAATTCAATAACCACGAATTGGAGCTACAGATTATGTACGACCTCCAAAACGATCATAAAGAATCTGACCAAATAAACGGACAAAGCAACAAACATTGCCCAATGAAACGCTTGGTCAAAAATGAATCATCGAGGACAGATCATTTACACTCGGACCTGCCCACGAGCGACCACATCATTCTCATATCGTCCCAAGTGGTGGGGACTATTCCGTCATTTAAACTCAATAAACACGAGGGGATTACAATTAATGTATGACCTCTGAACTGATCATAAAGAGTCTGATCAAATAAGTGGACGGACACCAATCGCCCAACAAAACGCTTGATCAGAAACGAATCATTGAGAACAGATCATTTACACTCGGATCTGCTTCACGAGCGGCCACATCATTCTCATATCGCCCAAGTGGCAGGGACTATTACACGAAAATGAAAAGTGAAAGTAGACAAAAGTGGAAAATGCAAGTAGGCAAAAGTGGAAACAGACAAAAGTATAAAGACGAAGTAAACAAAAGTAGTGAAGAACAAATAATCAGCAAAAGTGAAAGTATAAAAACGAAATAGACAAGAGTAATGGAGGATAAACAAATAAGTAAGAAAAGTAGACAAAGTGTAGAAAGAAAAGTAAGATGAAAAACAATAATCAAAAGTAATTATAAAAAAAAGTAAACATCTTACTCCTAGTTCTTATATATATTCTGTAACGATCGATAAATAAACAATTAATAATGTGTTATGTTTATACAATATGTAATACATAATACGTAACGTGTTTATAGCAGAATATCCTAGCCATGGCGAAAAAAGTGTTCAGATCATGTGATATTCAGGTATATCTGGAAAAATTCTATGATAATAGAGATTATTGTCAAAGATTAATTTAAGATTAGGGATCAAGCTTATATATAAAATTGCCTTCCCGACATTTTTTATTAGTCTATCAAGCTAGATTTAGGCATCTGTTTCCCGTATTTTTGCTTTTTCATTTTCTTGTGTCGGATTTGTTTTGCTGGGATGATCGAAATTTTACGCATTTTTATTGGTTTGTGTCACCAGTAGATCAAAAAATTCACGATTATTATTGGTTATCACGTGATTTGAACACTTATCATGGCTAGGATACTCTTATGCCGAAAAAAGTGTGTACAGATCGCGTGGTAACCAATAAGAATAAAAATGCGTAAAATTTTGATCATCCCGGCAAAACAAATCCGACACAAGAAAATGAAAAAGCAAAAAAGGTAAAAAATACGGGAAACAGATGCCTAAATCTAGCTTGATAGACTAATAAAGAATGTCGGGAAGGCAATTTTATATATAAGCTTGACCCCTAACCTTAAATTAATCTTTGACAATAATCTCTATTATCATGCTAGGATACTTCTAATGCTGATGATGACGGTAACACTGAAGATGACAATTGTGTTGTAATTATAATATGATAATGATAATAATAAATACATTTTTTCTGGATCAAATTTATATATTTTTCCATCTGCACCGACATAACAATGATTTCGTACTATGTTTTATAAAATAATTCAACTATAGTTGATTAATTATATTATCATTAATGTACTCCTCATTAAGAATTGGTTTTATTTTTGCATTACTAGCCTCAAGCTTAAGAATTGTAGCTCAAAAAGGATTGGGTATTGCAAACCAGTTTTTAATTTTGATATATCGGCCTCATTTCGGAATATTCTTCCATGATTTGTTTTAAAGCTTAGCATCCTCAGCCTTAAGCTCAGCATTCTTAGCCTCAAGCTCGGCTTTCTCAGCCATAAGTCCAGCTTTAGCTTGTCTCGATAATTTTAGTTCAGAATGCATGATTGATAATATCAGCATCTTTATTCAAAACTTCGAGTTAATGAACACAGAATAAAGAAAATATATATGCGATACAAATTGTAAATGCGATTATATATGAAAAATTAACATCAATGCTTTTGTAGAAGAACAGATTATTGTTTCCTGCCCACTCTCTTTTTTCGTGGTTAGTGGATAGTAAATCTTTATATAAATAAAGAAAAATGTGACCATGTTATCATCTGGCTTCGAGAGGCAAAGCCTCATGAGTTTTTAGACTCGCCCTTTAAGCCTGCTCCGCAACATATGTATGTGAGAAGGCGAGCCACATTCTTTATCATAATTATTTTGGATTATCGGTAAACTTACCGATGTTTTACGCCTATTATTCCTTGACTTACCCATATCGGATGTACTAACATTAATTGCCCATATGATGTGAAAACAGTGCGTTTCTAAATCGGATGTTAATCCATGCATAGAAATAAGCGCCCGAACTACAACGAATTATACCACTACCCGAATGCACAGAGTGCAGAGTCTTCGACTCATAGCAACAATCGATTTCTAGATAACTAAATTAATGCTACGAAAAATAACATGCATATAATTTGTGTGTCGATGTTACACAAGCTTCCTCACGTCGATGAGTCTTTGACTCTGTCCATAGCCATTTTGGCATAACGGTAATGTAATTGCAAAATAACGGCCGGATCTGATATTTTGTCGGATTTATGTGATTCTCGACTTAATTGAGACGAGGATTTTGAAGTCCGTATCACAAAGATTGAGCACGTAATGGATTCATATCAACATGCGTCTTTCAGACATAAGGCACAATGTATCATCTTCGCCTAACTAGAGCATGATTTATTTTTTTCGGGTACGTATCACGTTCGGTAATGAGTCTTACACAAAAAATTGTCATTATAATTTGTACCCGCCCATAACACTATGAATAATAAAAATATAAAACACCCGATTTTCAAAAATTATCATTAAGACGAACTTATATATTTTCGAAATTCCCCAACGTAAAAAATTAGAACATGTGACTTAGTGTGGCTTATGTATCAGCTTGTTTTTGGGCAATCCAAATTCACTTCTATCTCTAAAATTTCACGCTGAGCATTTACTTGAAAGCTAAAAGGTGGTTGTCATAGTAGAATTCTAAGTGATTTGCAATTTTTTCGTTTTTCATCGCTTGTTTTGAATTTTCATGTTATACATGATCTTGTGATTTTATTATTTTTTATTGGATAAATATCACGTATTCTAATTTTTTGTGTGTGTTTATATTTTGGGAAAAACCACGTGATATAAAAAATAAATGTGGCTCGATCAGCACTCTATAAGAACAAAAAACTGAAAGATAGCCGAGCTAATAATGGCCTCAATAATAAACGATTCAACCGGAAAACAGTTATGACAGAGAAGTATCCAACAGCTGTGGATGAGTTGACGAAATTCCGACAACTAAGGTGGGATCAGGGCAACATACACCCAAAGGCGAATTGGGAAAAAGTCTCGTAAGTCCTATATTGCCTCCTACTGAATCATCTAAACTTCCATCAAAAATGACTGTAAGTAATTAGAGGAAGTTGTAATTCTTTCTTTACAATTATCTCACAATAATTTTATTCTTCAATTAACATTAACAGGCATGGTGTTATTGCATAGATAATCGAACAACATTTAGAAAAATAGATCCTACCAGTATGTTGTGATTGCTGAATTATTTGACTTTTTGGCACAATTTGGATATTAAGGTATATGAATTTGGTACCATTGACACGTATGGCAACCGACTTGACATTCAGCCCGGTCAATGCATTATCAATATTCGGTTAGAATGCCTTTACAACGGGATGCCATCTACTTTCCAGCTTCCTACACCTCCTTTACTTAACCTCATTGCTATTGACCTCTATGCTGTTCGACGTGCTGTTTTATCATCCATTATTGAATAACAAATGAATTGATGATTTAAGTATAGTTAGAGATTGTATATTTAAGATACACTCATATAGTTTTATTGTTGAGTAGGGCTCCTAGATTCTATTCAAGTTCGGTCAAACCCGAACTCGAACTTGCAATTCCCGAACATCATTATACTAAGAATCTTCACGTTTTGAAATCTGCTTATTTGGGTAACTATGTGTCATGGATTTCAGTAATAACATGCAATTTAATAACTACGTCATAAATTTGATTCATTGATTTTTACGTCATAAACTCAAACTCTAACTCTATCGAACCCGAACATGTTCATGAACTTCGAATCGAATCGACTAAAAAAGTTCGGTTCGAACCCTAACTCTTCTTCATAAATAGAGTTGGTTCGAACCCTAACCCTTCTTCATAAATAGGTTCGGTTCGATAGGAGCTCTATTATTGGGTACAGACTTCCCACAACATAATTAACTTTGTTCGTAAAATGCATAATACCCGGATCTTTTAAACCACCCGATATGGTATTAGTAACTTTGTAGAAACAAATTACAATTTAAACATTTTAAAAATATTTTAAAATACTTTAAAATGCGCGTTTAAAATGCGCAGTTTAAGCATTTTTAAGCCGTATTTAAAAAAACATTTGTAAGCACTTTTTAAAACTGCGGTTTAAACGTTTAAACTATGTTTTTAAACACGCATTTAAAATGTGTTTTAAATACACAATTTAAACACGTTTAAAAGCGTGATTTTAAAAATGCTTTTAAAAAACAACTTAATTTTGACTTAATACAAATAAATAAACTCCAGACATTTCAGTTCCTATAAAGAATAAAAAAAGAACTTATTCTTAAACACCTTTCGAACCTTTCACTAATTTATGTCGAGTTAGAGAAACTTTTTGGTGACATTGCGCCAAATACAGTTTTTTGATATTATCGTTATTTAACAAAAAAATAAATGGCCAACATTCTAGGAAAATACGTATCGTTGAAATCACTCCGAAATTTTCAATTTTCTCAAGTTATTTCTAATAAAAAAAATTAAACGATGTTTAGGATTTAAGCTTCAATTCGATTAGCTTACTTTTTCTATTTTCTTTTTGGTAAGAAACTTCAATGCAGATAATAATATAAAATAGCTTTTGTATGGTACAGTCCCCCCGGAAAGTAATGACCGGGGGGACTTACTTGTCTTTTGGTTGTGTTAATTAAATGTGGTAATTAAATAAGTATAATCAAATAAAATAAAATAAATATAATGACCAATTGTATTTTAATTAATACTGTTCTTTTTGACAAGAGAAATTTCGGGTGGTTGTGTTGGGTTGGAATCTCGTTTCATGTGTTTATCTTATCATCATCAGAAGAAATGTTACTGCTACAACTTTCATCAGAAAAATCCGACTGTTTTTTTGGTCGTCTTCGTAGATAAAACCATATTCCTAGACAAATCAGAAGGAATCCTGCTACCAGCCCAACGCTCAAACCTAGTACTGAAGCGGGAGTTACACTATGAGCTGACGTTAGAGGAGGGACTTCATATACACTAAGAGCTAAAGGACCGCCGCACATTTGTGAATTATTGCCTGGACAACTAGTACTACATTCTTCTGTTTTTAAATTGGTAGGATCGTAAGTATTACCACAATAACATTCAGTTCCCATTTCTAATCCCGTGTAGTTGAAACCACCTTTTTTGCAAAAGTCTATGCACTTATCAACCGTCATATTAGTGAACGTTTCGGATGCGGCGTTTAAGGTTCTTCTATTACAAAAAGGACTATCTGCGATACATCCTTTATACTGTGGGTTGTTCTCAAGATTATGAATTATATCAAGTTTTTCATTAATAGTTATCTTAGGCACTTTATAGCTTGGCAGTTCACTTGTGTCATAAACAGTATAAGCTTCTTCCCCTCCACACATATCAGTTTTACTGCCAACACAAGTGATATTGCATTCAGTGTCATTTAGTTCAGTATAGGCTGCGAGACTATTATCTTTTCCACAGCGACAATCTTTTCCTTTTCCGAGAGCAGCATATTTAAAAAGGTAGTTACCACAATAGTTGACGCAAAATCCCGGATCCATCAGATTTTTAGCTCGCTGTGGATCGGCAAAACCTAAACTAGCAAGTCCATTGAAAGTCTCGGCAGAATTCACGTTTCTAACATAGCACCCTAGTGGATCATTTCTAGGATGACTTCTTGGAATGTAACAAACATCGAAAATAGTAGTATTCCCGTATCCGTCATCAATGAGTCTCTTGACTAGATAAATAATATTCAACAATGCTTTCATAATGAACTATTTTACTAATTTTTCAAAGCGAGGAAGCGATAATTAACTGGCAAAGATATTCAAGGAGATTTAAAAGTTGAAACTTATTTAGCGACAATTGTTCTTTTTTCTCAACTAATGATTACTTTCCGGCCTGTTTAAATAAATAAAAATATGAAATAAAATGTAAAAAGCTTGTATTAAGCAGAGAAAAAGCATAAGAAATTGTGACTTAAAATGTAACAGTAAAATAGCAAGAAAGAGAATCAGGGAAACCCGTAAAAAACTTGAAAGGAAAGACGTACAACTAAATTCGAGTACACTCGGTGGACAAAAGTTTACAATCAGGAAATGATCGATATAAATTTAGGGTGGGGATTTTTCTATTGTACTACGAAGCAAGTAGCTCGTTCGAAAGCTGAGTTTTTTCTTTATCGGAAAATATAAAAAATATGTTAACCTTAGAAAATATAACCCAACGTCACCAGCTTACAGATTTTGAACGTGGCGAAATAATCGGTGCATGGAAGTGCGGTTTTACTGAACAAGAGATCAGTGACAGTTTAAAACGACCAAAATCAACGGTCCATACTGTTATTGACAAGTACAAACGATTTGGACGGATTACTGTTGCTCCTCGGAAAGGTAGACCGAAAAAAATAACTACTCGAGCTGTTCGCCGATTAGTTAATGATGATCGACGACAAGCTGTCGAAAAAATTACGACAATTTCTTCAATTCTTTTTGCTACTAAATGAATAGCCTTGAGGCTAAATTAAGGTTTAAATTTTCTCCAAAGGGAATACTTTACGGTACTAGCGCTCAAATTATTGGAGCGCGGGACTCTGATGTTTGTAATAGTATCAATATATTATCGTTATTGCACGTATAATCGTAATCAATATCGATATTAAAAGTTTAGCGGAAATTGAAATTAATAGGTTGCTTAACGAATAGATTTTGTTTCTATTTCATCTTGTAGTGTAGAACGTGGTTTTAGTGCTTATAACAAAATTTTAGATGAAAATAACAATAAACTCAAATCAAGGTGTTACAGTGCACGACATTAATGTGTAAAAATGGTAATGGTATAAAGAAAAATAGAAGTACGTAATACAGATGTTCAAAGTTGTGAATATCAAAGAACTGTATTACAATGTATATGGCATATGCCTTTTTCGTTACGGCGCGAAAGCTTCGTTTTCATTTGGCTAAAATTGATGATCAACTTAATATAGACAAACATTACCAAATACATAAGTTTCAGTAGAACGTTTCATTTCTTATTTTTGCATAATTTGCATTTACACACACTATGAATAATTCCTAATTAGCGGGGGCTTGCTTGATCAGGCAACAAATTTTGTCTTATTATTGGCAAACTCCTAATACAATACCTCAAGAACTCTCACTAATGTTTTGTTACGAAGACTAACCTAATTTGTCTAAAATTTAACACGTTTATAATTATAAACAAATTATTGCATGATATGCATTGTCAATATCGTTATTCTTTGATGGAAAACTTTGACGGAAAAAAAGTGACCAAATTTGAGTTATACCAAAGAGGCATAGAAAACAGAAACTTCGATTGTAACCTTGAAGCTTGGCGTAAAGATGAACTTGTTTTTAGCAAAAAAATTCAATAAAAAAGAGACATTCCTCACCCATTTCTGGTCAACAGAGAATAATAATTTCTTTCCTCGCCCATCTCTGGTCAACAAAGAAGAATAATAATTCAAAATGACTAAAATCACAAATCTCTTCTTAATCATTGCTTTGATCTTTGGTTCGTTCCTCTCCTCTTCAACTGGAGTTCCGTTCCAAAAACGTGCAACTTGGCCACAACGCGTAGCACGCGTAAGTTATAACATTGGGACAGGCAGTACTCTTTTCGGTGAATTCAGTTTTACTCAACTTGCATTTCAATTCACTCGTATTCTCGGACAAATCAACATCGGAATCAATGATAAAGACACATCCAAATACTCATTCGAAATTTATACCACGCAAAGTACTGGTGGTACCCTAGTCAAGGTTTTGCCATTTAAATTCTCAGTTAACGCTCCACCAGGTGGCACTTCCGCTATTCAATTGGACGTCCCCGATATTGCTCTTCAACCTAGTTTGCCTCTGCAAGCAACTCCTACGGCTACTGCGACGAATGTTGCTGATAATTTTCTTAGAGTTTATTATAAATCTGCTTCTACTGCTACACCTACTTTGCTGAGCAGTGCGCCAATTAAAATTGTACCATAGGGAACATAAATAATTAAAGGGTTTAGTTTTCGTAATTGTTGTATAAAGTTTTGTGATTATTGATCTCAATTTGTATTTAATGACTTATATTTAATGTAGTTTACTTTTATGCAAATAAATGATAGAATAAATTTTGCGAATCAAAAGACTATTTAACGTTATCGTGATTGTTATGGAATAACGATAATGATCTTCCCTAACCATTAGGTTAGATTCTTCATACACATGACATGAGTTATACAAAAAAATTCTTATGGTGCCAGCGTCTGAAATTCAAGATGAAAAACATGTTCACACTACTTTTCTCTGATTGGCTGAACCAAAAACAATATATAAAATTCATGTGCACAAGATCAAAAACTTGTGTATATATACGTTGTTATCAACATCATGTGACCAGACTATTTTGCTAACGATAATATATAATTTATTATCATTTGAAATCTGTTCTGCGACCAAGTGGAATCATATTGTATTTTCAAAAAGTGTGCATATGCGCACTTTGTGCACATTAATTTCAGACACTGACTGGCGCAATCAAGACTCTTTTACAAATCTTATGAGACAAGGGTGCTGGCCCCAAGACTTTTTGTGTTCATCTAGGTATTGATGCTCACTCATTATAACACATCCTGACTTGCAATTAATCTTTGGAATAGATCTTGATCTTCAGCAGTCGAATTTCCTCAGGCTTGAAGCCTATATACTGGTGTTGGCAATTAGTATTTTCGGTCTTGAAGACCTGGTCTAATTCACTTGGTCTTTTTTGATTTAAATTGGTTTTTACTTTCAATAAAACCTAGAGTAATAATATTACATCTTTATTTTAGCAAACATGGATATAACAAAGTGTTCAGGGCTGTTAGTAAGAAATTCTGTAAAATTCGGTTTATCGAGGTTTATTTAGTAAATTCAGTTTTTCAAGGTGAATTTACTATAACTGTTCTCAGTTTATTCAGGCCAGGTTTAAGTAGTGCTTCGTTAACATATAACTAAATTTAGGTGCATTCAATTTAATAATGCCGGGTAGCACAAACCAATAGAATGCGCAAATTTTAATCAGTCTGGCAAAACAAGTCTGACACAAAAAAAATGAAAAATGTGAAAAATACAGGCAACGCATGCTTAAATCTAGTCTGAAGCACTAATAAAAAATGTTGGGAGACAGTTTTACATATAATCGTGATCTCAAGCCTAAGCCTAAGCCTAACCTTTAAAATCAATCTAAAAACTTGTCACAGAAAAATTAAATGCACAAAAATATGACTTGTTGGAATTTGAGAATATATTTCTAATTGAAATCCGAAATTAACTGCTTTGTAAAAATTTCTATTTTTAGACTGCGCCATTTAAACATTTTAAAAATGCTTAGATCATATTTTTACCTAAATTGTGTGCATTTATTTAAATTTTTTTATTTTCAATTTAAGTACGCTTAAACATGCTCTTATTTAAAAAATGTTTTAAAAGCGTTTAAACAATGCAGTCTAAGTGCAATACAATGACATTGATATTTTTCATAATACAATTAAATTTGGTACAATGAGTTTTAAATGATAACTCAGCTATTTAAGGTTAGGTTTATTTTCAAAGACTTAATCTGATGATTCAATAATTTTATTTTCTTAAAAACCAGGTTTTTTGTCAACACTGGTTCAGATTGAATTGTTTTAATTCCAAACTCATGCATTTTTGAATAGAAAATATATTTTTTAAATTCATCTTTCATGATACAGAAGCTCTTAAATCGAATCGATAATATGTTTCAATTTTAAAAGGTTACTATATAACATAGAGACAAAATTTTCAAATTTTGACTGGTAACTTTGTAGAACTTATAAAGAACAAAATTATCAATCAGATTTTAAAAATTTTGTCTCTATATTAAATAATAACATTTTAAAATTGAAACATATTATTAATTTAAGAGTTTTTGCATTATACGTATTTGAGTAATAATATAATACTGCAAGTTACTAAAAATTTTCTGGCTGGTTGAGCGGCTATTTTCTTGAGAACTAAGCCAGTTTAGTTGATATTAATTTTCTAAAAAAGGAAAATTATACAAATTATCATTAAAAATATACAATTAAATTTCTCTAGATATATTTTTTATAAATACACACATTATAAATATATAATATGGCTTGGTTCCAAGTTATAAGAGATATATATATATATTTTTAAAGTTCTATTTGGATCAAATTTAATCTGAAATTATAAAATAATTTTTTATTAATAATTTTTATTTTTACTAAAATATTATATTTTGTGTCTTAAACAAAGTTATTCAAAATATAATTGTGTATATATATACAAATTTTTATTTAATTTGACTTAATATTTAATAAGAAATAACAATTTTAGACCAATCTAAAATATTTTGAATCAGATTTAATTACAATTTGATCTGATTCAAACTGAAATATTGTTATGATATGAATATTTAGTTCTTATTTTATTGGTTAATTCATATCATAAATTTAATTGGATAATATTCT